CCCTCCTGCGTCCTGATGCTGCAGTGGTTAGCTGCCGCACCGGGGTGCCTACCGTGCCTGGCGTGCACTCCCCATCCTCTCCTCCTGCATCCTTATGCCACAGCGGTTAGCTGTTGCACCCGCGCCGCGTGCCTGGCGCACTTCCTTCCCTCCCCTCCTGCATCCTACTGCTGCAGCGGTTGCCGCTCATGCCGCATGCTGCATCCCCTGCTGCATCCTACTGCTGCATCCCTCCCCTCATGCCGCCGCGGCCAGCTGTTGCACCGTGGTGCTCTCCCTCCTGTTTCGCAGGGTTCCTCCCTGGCGGCTGGGGTTTGCTGCCCAATGCTGCTTCCTGATGGCGTCCAGGTGGTCTGGAAGTCATGCAAGGGCTCACGCAGGGAACGGTGCTGCGTCACATTCGCTGAGGTCAGGTGCCCCCTGGCCTGCTCCTGGCTGGCGTCGGCCCCTCACTGATGACCGGAAGGTTCCAGTGGTTTCTCGCTGCATTGCCTACCGTACGGTACCTGGACCTCGGGTTCGGCAAGCGTGGCTCTATACAGTTGTACGCTCGTTGGCCGGAGTTTTCCTGCATGGACTTCGCTTTCGACAAGTGGTACAGGTTTCACTGCCGTTTGCAGTCTTGGCGGTGTTGAGGTTGCCTGTCTTCACTCTTGCGCCGACACGATGTTTTGACATCTGTGTCGCCTACTTCACGGATTGCATCTGGGTGTGCCTGTCGGTCTAGTTCGTCTCTGACGGTGCTGTTTGTCTGACTCGCACCGAGCGATCGACCTCTGCGTGTTTATGGTCTTGCCGACGCGCCTTGTTGGCTGCGCGTACTTGCTGGCCGCCACCAGGATTTCCAACGCCACCGGGCTTGGGAGGATCGGTTCTGGCTTTCTAAGTGGCTGCCCGCTCGCTCACTTCGCTTGCCTTTCTTTTCCTGCTGCCTGGTCGCGGCCCGACTAGTGTTCGGACGGCGTTCGACCCGCCTCGCGAGCCTGTTGACCAAAAAGTATCCCCTCCAGCCTTCCGTCCCCTGTCAGTTGGCCCTGTGGGATACTGGTCCGCCGGTTCGGGAGTCGTTCGGCCTTTTTGAACGGCCAGGCGTGTCACCTTGCCCTGACTCCTGGCGCCCTGCGGCGACAAGGTCCAACTCACGTACTGGGCGATTCAGCTCCCATGGGACTCGCACGTTTGCAGCTTCCTGGCAGACCCAGCAACAGCTTGCAGTCCCCACCTTCGGCGCTGCACCTCAGCCACACCGCAGATGACCCCCCCTGCGGCAGGTCCTGCCTAGCTCGGCGCGCGCGCCGGCAATTTGGTTCGCTCGTAGCCCGTGCCAGCTGTGCTTTTGTTGCTGGCGCCTTCGCCTGTGGCCGCGACGTAAAAGTATCCCCTCCAACCCATCCAGGCACAATTGGAAACCTATTGGGGGCCTCTTGGAGGGTATCCTGAGCCATACTCAGCTATGTTTGACCGTTGTGCGGCTGTCTTCAAGCTTCTTGGAGGTATGTCGGAAGCTATTTTCAGTGTTGCCGGACTTCCTGGGGCCATTTTAAATGGAGTTGGAGGAGGAGGAGGAGGAGGAGGAGGAGGAGGAAGAAGCGGATGAGGAGGAGGAGGAGGAAACATATAGAAGGAGGAGGCGGTGGAAGAGGAGAAGTAGGAGGACGAGGAGGAGATGAGGAAAAGGAGGAGGAGGATGGAGGAGGCAGGAAATGAGGAGGGAAGGAACGGACGATGACAAGTAGGATGAAAAGTTGGGTGTTGCAAGTATGTTGTTGTAGGGCCTCTTGGGGCACGCTTGGGGCCCTATTGGAGCTCATGTCGGGGATCTTGGAGCCTTCTTGGGGCTCCTTTGAGGAGTTTGGAAGGCCTCTTGGGGCCATTTTGGCCCCCATAAACCATTTTGGCCCCCGTTGCCAACGTCGTTTTGGAGACGCGGACATCATGGACGTGGTGTCCTGGTGATCTCGCTCGAGCCGGGCCAACTAGCAGATTGCTTCTTTGTTGCGACGGCGGTTTCGCGTCAGAGCGCGGTGCTGCAGCCAGCTCCCTCATCGATCTGTCCACCGAGAGACAGGTCGTCGTGGGCACCAGAGGCACGCACATGTGCAGTTTTCGCAGCGCCTTCGAGGCCGAAGCGGTGGCTCTCGACGAAGGTTTAGATGCGTTCCTGGCCGTTTGCAGGTAGGCATTTCCCCCCCTCCCTCCTGCTTCCTCCCGTTGTTTCTTTCACTTGGCATATCAGTTTCCGGAGTAGACTTGTAGCATCATGTTCTCTCAACGTGCGCTTCATGAGGCTTGGCACGCGCGCAAAGAAAAGAAAAAGAGGGGGAGGGGGGGGGGAATCAGGCCCCCCCTTGGAGGCTCAACAATGGCGTCTTGATGCCCTCTTGGACTGCTCTTGGGCGCTCTTGGGCCCCTCTGGGGGCTCTCGTGGGCCGTCTGGGGGCCCCCGTAAGGCTTCAAGAGCCCATCGGAAGCGAAAAAGCGAGAAGACCTCAAGCATGTATTCTCCTTCGGTTTGGGAAGGCTCGGAGTGCACGTGAAACCGTCTTGGGGCCGTCTTGAGGCCTTGGATTTTGTCGGAGGCTATCTTGAGGTATCTGGAGCCATCTTGGAGGCCATCGTATGCTCTCCGAGGCTCTCCTGGAGCCATCTTGGGCGATCTTGGGCGCTCTAATCCCTCGCGGTGCGCGCCGTCCAGACCCAGGGGAGGGGGCAGGGGGAGGAGTAAACCCCCTCCCCCGTGCAGGGGAAGGAAGGGTCTCGGCAGGGAGAAGACGAACTCGTTAAACCACCCAATTACGCCCAGAGGGCTCGGTTGCAAAACCGGTCCCAGGGAAAGGGTCAGGATTTCCAGCGGCCCCGCACGGAAAAAACCGAACTTGGCATGTCTGGGTGCTCCTCGGGACAGAGGAACGAACGAGGCTTTCGGCTGTGGTCGGCCTCCTCGGCCGGGGGATTCTCGAGTGGCGGTTTGATGCACCCCCTTTCTCAAACGTCACACTCTCGCCTCGGCGCCGCGCCTCGTTTTTGAAAAAGTGCGCGCGGCGCCGATGCGAGAGTGATTTTTACAGGAATGAGGCTCTCAGACCGCCACTTGAGAATCCCCCGTTCTCGGATTTCTGGGGGTCCACGTTGCGACAAAATCGCGACGTCGGAGGTGTGAGGAGAACCCCAAAAGCTGGCGGCGCACGCAACGGGGTTGGCGGGAGGGGGTATTAGCCTTCTAAGACGGCGTCTCGGAAGGGCCTCAGTGGTTTCTACGAATGTTCCTTAGACTCCCGGGAAGGCTCTTCTTGTAGGTTCATGTTTGCGGCGTTGGCGCGCTGGCGACATTGGCGAAGGCGTTCAAGGTTGAATTCTGCGACGCGGAGGCACCCAGGGACACGGTGCCGCCATTGGACCCGACGGATCGAGTTCAATCTTGAAGGATCGGGGCCGCGGTAGGTCCAAGGTTGAACGATCGACGCGGTGTCAGAAACCTGTGCGCGCGCCGACGCCGCACGAACGTAATTACAGTCAAAGCTCATAGCAAGGACGCACGGATGTCCTGCAGGATGTTGGCAGCTCGCCGCCTAAAAAGTTCCAGACTTTCTGGCGTCCAGGACCCTTGCGTCCTTGCCGCCCGTCCTTGCTACAGATTTCGGCTGTTCGGTGAGAAGCCCAACGCTTTTCGGAAGCTCCCCCCACCGTCTTAGAGGGCCGCTCCCCCGCGCTGCCCGAAGGTGCGCGCCGCCACGCAGCCTCGTGGGCGGGGAAGACGCCCGTGCAGTGGAGACCCATGCCGAGAAGCACCCTGCTCGCTTCCAGGGCGCCCTGGATTTCCTGGGTTTCGATGGCCTTGCTGTGGAAAGCGCGACGTTCCCACACCAAAAGTCAATGGACGTCCTGGGGTCCCAGGGTTGGGTTTCTTGTGGAAGGTTCCTTGTGGACCGGCCTCCACTGTACCCGAATGTGGGCGCCGCCACACAGCATCGTGGGCGGGGGAGGCGTCCATATCCACGGCCTCGCGGTCTGGACACGCCAGCCGCGATGCCAAGGATGCCGGGCGGGTTGTTTTTCGCGGATGATCCGCGCGGATCGTATCAATGGGGCCGCGAATCCAGGGGATCACGGCTCGGCATCCAGACTGCGAGGGCATGGATATCGAATGCGGGTATGTCCGTCGGTTTCGGATCAAGAAGACTGAGTTCGAGGATTGGTATGTTTCTGCCTTGTTGGCACGTTGGGAGGCTTATTGTCGCCACGGCCGAATTCCCATTGAAATTATAGTCAGAGAGGGATCGGATGGAATTTGGGGATCACATTGACGAGGAAAGACTTCCTGCGGGAAAATGGAGTCGACCCCTGGGAGCCCTGCCCCGTGTCCCGGGGACCCCTGAGAACGGCTCCAGATGAAAAGTTGGTCCTGAGGACTCCGTTGAGTCCAGGATCCGTTTCTTTTCTTCGTCCCCAGGTCGAGGAGGCGCAAACATGGATCACAAGGTGCGTGGATCAGAGACGGGCCCCGTTCCCTTGCAAGAACCAGCGGGCACCGCCGCCAAATCAGGCGGCATTGTGGTCTCATGGTTTGGGGGGGGTCCTTCCCCCCCACGCCCACGTGCCAGATCCGCAGAAAGGGGCGCGGTGGGCGAATGCGAACGCAGCCACTGGGGGTCCGTCGGTGGAGCTCCCGATGGGGCTGCGAAACGTGTGAGGGGTAGGCCAAAATGGGTGCGGTGGGCGCATGCGAACGCAGCCACCAGGGCCTTCGGTGGAGTTCCCTATGAGGCTACGAAACGTGCGGAGGGTGTATGTAATCCGTGTCAGCGCGTGCCTGTCAAGAGGAGACAGGGACCACCGACATCACGGATCTGACGCTGCACCACATCGAGCTGCCCAGCATCCACGCGGATCATCTGGGCCCAGAACGCGTGCGGCTCGGGGTGGACAATTTGGCCCTCAGCGCCAGCGTCGGGAGGGTCAAGAACACTGACCCCAGCGATTGGTTGCGATGGCTTGCTGGGATGTCGACGCTCGAGATCAAGGATGTGGAGATGACGTTGACTGGCTCGTTCACGGCTGAGGTCGAGGTGCCCCTGACCGAGCCGTACCTCATCAGCATCAGTAATTGCCAGGCCACCGCTAAGGTGACCAGTTATCAGGACGTCAAGACGGACGCCGGGTGGATCTACGACGTCGATTTCACTGGCCAGCTAGGCAGGGCGATAGAGGACCAGATCAAGAAGGAGATCGTGGAGCAGTTCAAGAAGGAGGTCTGCGGAGTCGACGGGCTCGGCAAGGACCTGCAGAAGCAGATGGACAGCTACATCAACACCACGCAGGCCGCGGCGTGGCACGCGGCTCCCGACGCAACGACCACGAGGCTCGACCCCAACGAGGCCGTCCATTGGAAGGAGTCGCTGATGTTCCAGTGGATGCGCCAGTTCATCGCCGATGCCGAGGTGAACGGCCTGAGCTGGCAGGGCATGCTCGGGCCACTGTTCCCCAGGGCTCCAGTGTCGAGCCGCAACGGGACTGGCGTCTGCCTCTTCGGGTCTCGGAGTGTGGCTTGCCCGCTCGCCAGCCCGACCTCATTCGACGTGAAGAAGAGGTGGGACACCGCGGACGGCGGTTACATAGACCTGCAGATCGATCACTGGACGGCAATAGTGAGGGAAGTGGACGTGCACTATTTCAATATGCCGACAGAGAGCCCGCCGAATCCCGATTGGCTCGGCGTCAACGCTTCCATAGGCCCGTTGAATCTGACGTTCCTGGTCGATATCAGGATTGACTCCAGCGCGTACAGCTCCACAGCATGCATCGAGAAGACAGTCACAGCGGAGATCGACATTCGGCATGTGGCGTGGGACGCGTTCGTGCTGTACGACGTGCCACAGGACGGGTACAATGAGCTAAGCCTGACACAGCGCTACACGCCCGCGTGTCTGGACGCGATCGCAACCAAGTTTGAGCTCACGTACTTGCATCTCGAGATGTACATCTACAACGTGCATTTGGAGATTTCGCCAGCGAGCAACAAGACCCACACCGAGCACGAGGCGCGGCTGGTGCTGTCCATCGAGCACCTGTTCAACTCCTTAGTGGTGACCGCAGTCAACAGCAACCCCGAGAAGATCAATCTGCTCGTGGAGAGCGTCGTGGGCCCCAAGCTCGAGGCGTATGTCAACGACGGCGGCGGCCTGGGCGGGCTGCTCGGCTCCTTCGGCCTCGGGAGCGGAGATGGTGCTCAAGGGAGGAAAAACCACCCGGACCGGACAATTGGCGTGTACTAGACGACCCTGGGCGTTTTTTTTAACAGCCCTGCCCTATTTGATTCCTTCTTTGGGTGCGTTTGCCAAACGGCTTCGCGTATCGGGGAGTTTATTATCGAGGCGGATGTTCTGCCCTCTAGGTGCATGTCCGGAGGAAAGCACGCCTCGCGTGGTGTTCGCAGTGATGCGCTGGACTGCTGCTGCTATATCTGAAGGGCTGCTTCGCCCTCCGCCGCTGGCTGCCCCTCGGACTGCTGGCGTTGGTTGCTGCGCCTGGTCGGGAGGCTTGGTGGCTTTCATGTTGCTCGGCTGGCTAGCATCATGGGGCGTGTTTCTTTATTGCTTGGGGCATAATGGATGTTATAGCCCCCGGCCCCCCCCCTCCTCCCCCCCCAATAACGTAACGCCCCTCGCCCCCCAGTGCGCTCCGAGCACTGCCGCCGTGCGCACGGCGGGGGGGAGGCGTTACATTATACCCCCCCTGGCCCCTCCCCCCAATTATAATGCCAATCGCCGAAAATAGAGAAACGCGTTATTGGCTGATTGACTTGTTGTCTAAACTCTTTGTGGGCAACTGCCTGGGGCTGCTTGCTGGCTGGCTGATCGCTCGCCCTGTAGCAATCCATGAAAGCTGGCAGCCTCGGGAGCGCGCTTCCACTGCACGTTACCTGGTTGCGCGGCTTCGGGAGCGCGCGCCCCTAGCTGTTTTCAAGAGTTCGTGGCCTCGTATCCACAGCAGAATTTCGGAGGCGACTTTCTCCCCAATCCCCGAGTCCCGCCCGAAACATTTGGCCGCTCAGAACAAGGGGGAAGTCCTGGGATACACCCCAATGGGGGCTATTCGAACGCACCCCTTTTCGAGGATGGACGCCACCCTCGTATATCCCAAAGCTGGGCCCCAAATTTCTGGTCCACTCGAAACCCACGAAGCCTGTGATAGGGGTCGACGCATCCCCTGTTAAACTCTTAGGAAGCGGGGTGTGGGGGGGAGGGGTGGGTGGGGCGGGCGAATCCCACCCCCCGACGCAATTCAGAACATGTACGCGTTTCTAGGCCTCCTGGATGGGGTCGGAGGATCGCGCCGCGTCGCCCAGGCATCGCCGATGCGGCTCGATGTGGGGCCCACGTTTCTCCACGCTGACGTCGCGGATGTATCGTTGACGTCGCCAGTGCATGGCCGATGCATCGCTGATGCAGCCGCAATGCATCGCCGATGCATCGGCTATGCGGCGCGAGCCTCCGACCCCATCTACTCCGTCCCCATTTAGGAGGCCTCTGATCTTCTGTTCTGGAGGGGGGGGCGTTTTTGGGCAGCCTCTGGCGGTTTGGGCTCGTGGCCTCGGGAATTGCGAATGCGCACTGAGTCACAAGGGGTTGTGGTCTCGGGATCGCGATTTCATTATGTATCAGGGGCTGCGGCACCAGGGGCACGCATCCGTAGCAATTTGTAATGGGGCTGCGGTTTCAGGAACACGAATGTGCCACAGTGCACGAGAGCTTGCAGCCCAGGTAGCGCGAATCCGTTGTAATTTGAGTGATTGTGGCATCGGGAGCGCGAACACACTGTAATCTACTAGGGGACGTGACTCGTGAGGTTCGAATGTATCATTCTTCGCTCGGAGGTGTGAATTCGGGGGCGCACACTTCTCATAGTTTACGATGGGTTGTGGCCTCGGAGGCGCGAATCTGTCCAGCTGCCTGCGGCAACCCCTGCCACCGCTTCTGCACAACAGCATAGCAGAAAGAGAGAGGTTGAATTCTCAACGTTTCGCGTATTCCCACCAGCTCACTCTTGCGCCGACACGATGTGTTGGCATTTGTGTCGCCTACTTCACGGATGTTGTTTGGGTGTGCTTGTCGGTCTAGTTCGTCTTTGACGGTGCTGTTTGTCTGACTCACACCGAGCGATCGACCTCTGCGTGATTATGGTCGCGCCGCCGCGCCATTTTGGCTGCGCTTACTTGCTGGTCGCCACCAGGATTTCCAACGCCACCGGGTTTGGGAGTATCGGTTCTGACTTTCTGAGTGGCTGCCCGCTCGTTCGCTTCGCTTGCCTTTCTTTTCCTGCTGCCTAGTCGCGGCCCGTTTAGTGCTCGGACGGTTTCCGATCCGCCTCGCGAGCCTGTTGGCCAAAAGGTATTCCCACCAGCCCATCCAGGAACGATGCCCATGGGAGTTGCCCTTTTCGGGAGAGCTTTGCATCATTTGAAGAGTTCGGGTGGCCTCTGTGGGCCAGAGGCTCTTTAGATGCCTCTCGGGGCCTTTTCTCTTGGGATGTCTTTCAGGGTCTCTTGGGGCGTCTTGGGGCCCTCCTGTCAGCTCTTGGGGCCCTCCTGGGGGGCCTCGGGGGCTCTTGGCGGTCGCCAGAGCCTGCTGGGGGTCTCTTGGGAGCCTCTTGCGGGTGGCCGCTTGAGGGCCTTTTGCGGGTAGCGATTTGGGGGGCCTCTCAGGCGCCCCTTGGCGGGGCCCGTTTTGACGGTTTGACTCCGTTTTCTATCCTCCATCGGTCGTCTCTGGCGAGGGGGGTCGCCGCCCACCAAGCCACCCCAAAGCCAACCCGAAGGCCTCAATGTGCCCTCCATTTCTCGTGGGGGAGGGTCGGGGAACGTTGCAACAACATGTGGAACCCGCATCCCCCCAACCCGAAATTCGGACGAAAGTCGGGTGTTCGGGTTGGGTTGGGGTGGTTTGGTGGGTAGTCGGGGGGGGGGGGGGGGCATGCTCGAACGCGTCACGTGCGACGAGGGGGGGAGGCCGGCCCCGGACAGCCGAGAGCACTTCGTAAGGCGGCATTATAGCATCCCACAGGCGCGCCCACTGCCTGGCAGCGCGCATTTGGCACGGCTCGTTTCGATTCTCCCGATTCGATTCGTTTCGACTTCGATGGCTTCCGATTCCGACTCGATTCGACTTCAGATTCCGATTTGGGATACGATTTCTCAGTGGAGGCCTACCAGTCCGCCGATTTCCGCCGATTCGACTTTTCCCAACTCGGCTGCCGATTTTCGCCGATCCGACTCATGTCGATTGCAGATCCGACTTATCGATTCGCTTTTGGGCTCTCCTGACTGGAAAGTTGGGGGAGGTGGAAGGCTTCTTAGAAGGGGGCTGTTTCTTAAATAGCGCCAGCCCTACATCTACAGACAAGGCCCGCGCCTTCTGAGGCAGCCTCCTTCTACGAAGCCTTCCCCCCGTCCCCTGCCCCCCTGTGCGCGCCGCCGAATTCCGTGCAGGCACGGTGGCGGAGACGCCGGTCGTTGAAAGTAGGTATCTTTGGATGCCCAAGTCCCAATACTAGCCGGCCGCTCTGCGGTTGATCGGGAGTTTCTGTATATAGAAGAAGGTGCGTGCGCCTGTTGGCGAGGGTGAGGATGAGGTTCCTCCTCCTCCTCCTCCTCCTCCTCCTCCTCCTCCTCCTCCTCCTCCTCCTCCTCCTCCTCCTCCTCCTCCATCCTTCTGTTGCCTCCGTCTGTCCTCCTCCACCCCACAGCTCCGTCATCTTCTCCTCCTCCTCCTCCTCCTCCTCCTCCTCCTCCTCCTCCTCCTCCTCCTCCTCCTCCTCATTCCTCCTCTGGGCACCTCCCCCAGGGCGCGGATCCACCGGATCTGTCCGGATCTGTCCGGAAACGGTGCCGGAGGCCGCTCTGGGCTCCTCTGGGCACCTCCCCGGGGCCGGTTTTGTGAGGATGTCTCAAGCGAGGGCGCCGGAATGGGATTCGTCGGCGGATCCACCGGATCCACCGGATCTGTCCGGAAACGGTGCCGGAGGCCGCTCTGGGCTCCTCTGGGCACCTCCCCCGGGGCCGGTTTTGGGAGGATGTCTCAAGCGAGGGCGCCGGTTTTTGGGATTCGTCGGCGGATCCCACCGGATCCCACCGGATCTGTCCATATCTGTCGGAAACGTTTGCCGGAGGCCGCTGTTATTTTTTATTTTTTTCTTTTTTTTTTTGTTTTTTTTTTATTTTTCTTTTGGTTTTTTGCCGGGCTCCTCTGGGGCACCTCCCCCGGGGCCGGTTTTGTGAGGATGTCTCAAGCGATTGTGCGCCGGTTTGGGAATTCGTGCTCGGATCCACAGGATCCACCGGATCTGTCCGGAAACGTGCCGGAGGCCGCTTTGGGCTCCTCTGGGCACCTCCCCCGGGGCCGGTTTTGTGAGGACGTTTCAAGCGAGGCGGAACCACCGGATCCACCGGATCTGTCCGGAAACAGTGCCGGAGGCCGCTCTGGGCTCCTCTGGGCTCCTCCCCCGGGGCCGGTTTTGTGAGGATGTCTCAAGCGAGGGCGCCGGTTTGGGATTCGTCGGCGGATCCACCGGATCCACCGGATCCACCGGATCTGTCCGGAAACGGCTTTGCCGTGAGGGCCGCTCTGGGGATCTCTGGGCACCTTCCTTTATTTTTTTTTGTTTTTTGTTTTTTTTGTTGTGGTGTTTTTTTTGTTTTTTTTTTTTTTTTTTTTCTTCTGTTTTTTTGTATTTTTTTTTCTTCTTTTTTTGCTTTTTGATTCATCTCCCCCGTGGCCGGTTTTGTGAGCGATGTCTCCAAGCGAGGGCGCCGACGCAGATTCGTCGCGGATCCAACGCGGCCACGGATCTGGTCCGGAAACGGTGCCGGAGGCCCGCTTTTTTTTGTTTTTTTTTTTTTTTTTTTTCTTTTTTTTTTTTTTTTTTTTTTTTTTTTTTTTTTTTTTTTTTTTTTTTTTGTTTTTTCTTGTTTCTTCTTTCTTTTTTTCTTTTTTCTTTTTCTTTTTTTTTACTTTTTTTTTTGTCCTTTTTTTTTTGTTTTTTTTTGTTTTTTTTTTTTTTTTTTTTTTTTTCTTCCTTTTTTTCTTTTTTCATTTTTCCTCTCTTTTTTCTATTTTTCTCTGGGCTCATGGGGCACCTCACCCGGGGCCGGTTTTGTGAGGATGTCTCAAGCGAGGGCGCCGGTTTGGGATTCGTCGGCGGATCCACCGGATCCACCGGATCTGTCCGGAAACGGTGCCGGAGGCCGCTCTGGGCCCTTGTGCTCCCCACGCCGGGGATGAGGATGACGGTAGTTCCACAGAAACTCCCTCAAATGATAGTTTGATTCTTCATTGTTTCACCGATCGGCGCGGGCCCTGTCACCCCCTCCCCCCTCATGGAGTAGATCCTTGGCTGTTCTTGGCGCCTGTTTCAAGCAGGTGGAGCCGTCCCCATGGGACGCACAGCTGCAAACAGTCGCAGTAAGCAGAGGTCCAGAGCCAGAACCCCCCTCTCCACCCCTTTCCGCCCAATGTCGAAACGCCGAATACGAAAACGTTCACAAGAGCATCCAAGCACGCCCGTTCCGTGCAGGCACGGTGGCGGATACACGCCGGTCGTTGAAAGCAGGTCTTTTGAATGCCCAAGTCCCACTTTCTTTTAGGCGGCGGTTTTCCCTCTTCCCTCCTCTTCAAGGGGTGGGCGGAGACCCAACTTGCTTTCAACGCCTTTCCTACTTCATGTTTCTACCCAGTTCCGACGGACGGGTATTGCATTCGACGTGTCCCAGGTCCCAGAGAAGAAATCTCAAGAAAACGGGAGAGCCGAAAAGCGCCCCCCGAACACACATTCCAACATAAAAGAGGTACGTTTTCTGTCCTGGGGAGGGGGGGGGCTTTTGGGCAACCTTCGTTGGGTAGACTCGTTGCCTCGGGAAGGCAAACTCGTTATACTTTGCGAGGGGGGTGTAGCCTTGGGAGCGTGAGCCCGTCGGAATTTACAATTGGTTCTGGCATCGGCTGCGCGAGCGCTTCGTAATTTACTTCTTATGGACGAGGGTAGTTGGGCGGTATTACGGTCACAGGTGCTTGTCTTGTCAACGGACCAAGAATTAAGAATCGCTGGCCGCGTCATGGGCATTTCAAGGAGGTGGGTCCTTGTGGCGAGCGACGCCCAGGAATCAGGAATCAAGGAGGAGCCCAAGGTCGTACTTATGGATTGTGGCCGCGGGAGCGCGAGCCCGTCATAATAATTTGTAAGGGAGTGTGGCTCCGAGACCGGGAATCAGTTGTTTTTGCTGCACGTGTCCCAGGTCAACCCAAGAAATTCTTAGAACCCCATTCTTCGAAGAAGACAAAACGCCATAAACATAATTTTTTGACGCTCCGCGCGGATTTCTTGGATCCGCGCTGGGGCCCCCCTGGCGGCGCCTCCGGCGCCGCTCCTGGTGGCGCGTTCCGTGCGCCAGGAAGGGGGTCCGGCGCAGGTCCAAGGAACCCGCGCGGAGCGCCAAAAGTGTATGTTTATGTGTTTGTTCTTCTTGTAATTCTGGAAGGGGAGCGGGGCTCTTTTCGGGCTCCCCACTCTGCTCGGGCTTCATGCATTCTTGCATATATGTCATAAATCACTACGGCTTTGAAGCTGGAACTGGCGCAGGGAACAGGACAGACCAGTCTTCGTTCCTGTTGGTCCAAGGGGGCCGGCGGATTCTGCCTGGCCGTCACTTGCATCATCTTCTTGAAGTTTTTCGGATCTCGAGGATCTTGGCGCGACAGCCTCGAGGCTACGGAGTCTGGACGTCGTCTCGGAGTCTGCCTGGCAAGGAAGCCGACCACCGACCTCCACTGGGTGATCGCGCTGCCGCTACTGGTGCTCGTCTGCGCCATCCTGCTCGTCCTGTCGAACACCGTGAAGGGAAGCCCTACCCCTCCTCTCCCTCCCCCTCCCCTCCCCTACTTCCTCCTCCTCCCCTCCCCTACTTCCCTCCCCCTCCCCTGCCCCTCCCCCTCCCCTCCTCCGCCTCACCCTCCCCTCCCCCGTCCTGCCCGCGCTCCTTGATTTCGGCCGCCTGCGGTGCTCGATCGCAGGCCACTGCGCTCGAAGACGAAACATGTCGACATGCACGCGATCGTTTCCTTCTGCTGTTTTACCGACCGGCGCGGACTTCTTGGAAGGAGGCTGCTTCTTAGATAGATGGCGCCAGCCCCACATCTACAGACAAGGCCCGCGCCTTCTGAAGCAGCCTCGTTCTAAGAAGCCTTCCCCCCTTCCCCTGCCCCCCTGTGCGCGCCGCCAAATGCCGTGCAGGCACGGTGGCGGAGACACGCCGGTCGTTGGAAGTAGGTATTTTTGGATGCCCAAGTCCCAATATGATAGTTGTCTTATTCATTGTTTTGCGGATCGGCGCGGACCCTGGCACCCCTTCCCCCCCATGGAGTAGATTTTTTTGGCTGCTTCTAACGCCTGTTTCAAGCAGATGGAGCCTCCCCCATGGGACGCACTGCTGCAAATAGTCGCAGTAAGCAGAGGTCCGGAGCCAGAACCCCCTCCTCTTCCGCCCAAGGTCGAAACGCTCACATGCATGAACATGACTTTGCGGAGGCCCGTATGGATTTCTTGGATCGACGTTGAGGCCCCTTGGCGGCGCCTCCGACGCCGCCCCTGGCGCCCTCCATTCGCGACGGAGGGAGGTTTAGCGCGAATCCTGGAAACCCGCGCGGGTCTCCGAACACGTGTATGTTTCTGCGGATCGGTGTCCTTCGGAGCATGCTTGGACTGCTCCGTCGCCCGTCTTCCAGAGCGTGAGCTACATTATTCACGCTTCGCGTACATGCCGGTCGTTGAAAGTCGGTATTTCTGGAGTCTTAGATCCCAGTTTTTTTGTCAAGCGCCTTCCTACTTCAAGAATCGATATGTTGTTGTTGTGTGGTGTTTTTGTTTTATCTGGGAAGCCTTGTATCAAATCTAAGGTGTCCGCCTTCGTACTCCATGTTTTTACCTACTTCTTCCACCGACGTGTATCCCCACCAGCCCGTTCACAAACCTTGCGTATGAGAGTAGAAGGGAAACGAGACGAAGAGAGACATATAGTTAAACAAAGCGGGCAACCAGGGTGAACAGAGAAATCGTTGGGAGCAGGGTGGTGGCATTGGAAGGCCTCTTCGGGCCATCCCTGGGGCCCGCGGCGGGGCGGCCCGCGTGGGGGCGAGGGAAGGAGCAGGAGGAGGAGGAAGACGACGACGACCACCACCACCACCACCACAACGAGGAAGAGGAGGAAAAGGAAAAGGAAGGTGATGAGGGAAGCCCTTGTGGGACTCTTTGGGGGGATCTTGGGGCTCTTTGGGGGGGGAGTCTTGGGACGCTCTTGGGGCCCTCTTGGGAGTCCCTCGGGAGCCCTGGCGGGCCTCTTAGGGCCCTCTTGCAGACCATCGATCACAAGGGGGGAGTCCTGAATATCCCGCCGCAAAGTTGGGGAAGTTCAAGTATTTGTTGTAGCGACTCGTGGGGGCCCTCTTGGGCTGTAGGGGCCCCGTGTGGGGCCCCCTTGGAGCGTCACGTCGGCCCCCTGCGGCCCGACTGCGCCGTCTTGGGGTGACTTGCGATCCTCTGAGCGCGCTCGTCGTGGTGCCCCCTGGATTTGCCGCTGGCCTCCGCTTCCCGTTACCCTCTCTTCCCCTTCTCTTGTTTCCCCCATGTTTGACAATCCGCGCCACGGCAGGGCGCGTCCATGAACGTCTACCTGATGAACGGCACCTCAGGGAAGGGAGGAGAAGGAGTAGGGGTAGCAGATCCAGGCTAACAGAAGAAAGATGAGAAGAAGGAGGAAGAGGAGGAGGAGGAGGACAACGACGGCGACGTCCAGCCGCTTTTCTCCTCTTCCTCCTCGTCCTCCTACCTTCCCCTGCTACCCCCACCACTGCGGACGAGTCCTGCGACCACCAACGCTTCGCGATTGCGCTCAAGTGGGCGAAGAGGGAGGAGGAGGAGGAGGACGTGCCAGTTCCCCGCGGCTCTTGGCGTCGTGTTTCTCTCCGCAGCGCCGATGTGTTTGTCCACGACGGCTCGGCCTCCAGAGGCCCGGCCTCCAGAGGCACGGGGGGAACTCTGAACTCTGGGATACACCCCAAATAGGCGATCGCAAACATGGCTTAAGGGGGCGTGGATCAGCGACGGGTCCCGTTTCATGGGAAATCGCAGAGTTCCGCCGCTGAGCGAGGCGGCACCGGCCGCATTTTGGGGAGGGTACCTCCCCCGATCCATGGATTTGTTGACCGCGCGCCGAATCCATTGATCGCTAATCCATGCTTGCGCGCCCCCGACCCAAGGGGGCTATTCGGACGCACACCTATCGAGGATGGACGCCCCTCCATCGTATATCCCAGATCTTGGCTTAAATTCTTTGGTCCAGTCGAACACCCCACGAAGCCTGTCTTCGGCCTGGTCGGCGGTGATCTGCAGTGCCATCGCCATCACCACCGTCACCATCGCAACCACCGTTTCGGATGCAACTCCTTGGAGGTCAAATTCTGCTTTTGCCCTGGTCCGAAGTCCGGCCTAATTCCGCTTAACGCGGCTTCATCCTGCTTGCTCCGGCCCGGTCCCGCTTAACCCGCGGCCTACACCGCCTTAGCAGCCCCCCAATTGGGGCCTGATCTTCCTAAATCCCTCCGACGACGACCTCCTGGCAGTTGCCTCCCGACGGCACCATCGCGACCACCGTGACTACCCTGCCGCGCCCCTCCGACCTCCAGCGGCGCGCCGCCTGCGTCGGGGGCGGCCCGCCCGCCTCCCGTGCGCCCCGGCTCTGGCGGGCGCGCCCGCCGGCCCTCCAGGAAGACCATGGCCCAGGACTGGCGGCGAGCCCCAAGGGGGGGAAGTGAGGCGGGGCGGTCGGGAGCCCTGAGACGGGGGTCAATGCAGACGGGGGTCGGCCAGAGCGCCCGGTCTTGCAGGAAACTGCAGGGCCAGGGTCGCATCGGCCCGGGCTTCGGTGCAGGATCCTGCAGGATCTTGCAGGATCCTTCGCATTGACCCGGGGCTGGGCGCAGGATATTGCAGGATCTTGCAGGAGTCTGCAAGGCCTGACTGACGCGGGTCAGCAGATCCCCAAGGGCGGGCCTTCGCAGAAATGGGAACGAAGGGCCTTCTCGAAAGGCTGGGACCCCCCCGGCCTTCTGAGGGGTTTCCTAAGCCTAAGCCCTCCCTGCAGGCACAGAAAATCTCTCAGAAGGCGCGAGGTCCTCCTCCTCCCTCATCCTCCTCCTCCTCCTCCTCCTCCTCCTCCTCCTCCTCCTCCTCCTCCTCCTTCTCCGCCTTCTGAGTTCTGAGAAGGCCTTCTCCTTCTCACTTCCATCCCCCCCCCTAGCCCGCCGCCTACAGGAGGCGCCGGGCGCAGAGTTCCGCGTGCTGATCGGCCAGCTCGTCGGCCAGCACGAAGCCGACATCAGGTCTGCGGTCGCGGCCTTGCAGCAGGATCGGAGGAGCCGTAAGTCATGATAGTGGCACGATCCAAGATCTCCACGGCTCCGTGTTGCCCCGCAGGGGCTCCAGGAACGAGGGCCGACGAGGAGGGCCGCCGGACACCGCGAAATTCTTCACGCTTCGCACCGTGCCGCATCCCGGACGCCGCTTCCGCTCCTTGACCGTTGCCTTGGAGCCGCCGACCAAAAAAGTATCCCATCAGCCGTTTTTTCCCCCGGCGGTAGGTTTAGCAGTTGCCTGCGCGCGCGCTAGGCAATTAGTTCTGCTCGTAGCCCGAGCCGACTTGTGACGCCGCCGGCGCCTTCGCCTGCGGCTGGGACAAAAAAAATCCCACCAGCCCATCCAGACACGATCGGAGGCCATCTTGGGGCCTCTTGCAGTCTGTCTTGCTCCATGTTCGGCTAGAGGCTGTCGGAGGCTATCCTGAGCGTAGGGGCTCTCTGAAGGCACCCTGCGGGGCCTCTTGGGCCATTCTTGTGGTCCTCTTGGGGCTCATGTTGGGGGTCTTGGGGCTCTCTTGGGGCTCCTTGGAAGGGGTCTGGGAGGCCTCGTGGGCCTCATGGTCAAAGAAGGGCGTCTTGGGGCTCTCTTGGGGCGCTCTTGGAGCGCTCTTGGGCGCTCTTGGGGCCACTCTTGGGGCTCGCCTCGGCCGTCTCGAAGCCATCTTCAGGCCTGAAGAACCCATCGGAAGCGAAAAGGCGAGAAGGCAAAACACATTGATTGTCCTTAGGTCTTGGAGAAATGTTGGCCTCTTTGGTGGGGCATTTGAGGGCTCGGAGGGCATTTGAAACCGTCTCTTGGGCCGTCCTGAGGCCTCTTGGATATTTGTCGGAGGCTATATTGAACCATCTTGGGGTATCTTGAGCCATCTTGGAGGCCATCGTGTGCTCTCTGAGACCCTCTTGGAGCCATCTTGGGCCATCTTGGACGCTCTATAGCCCTATCCGTCCTCCCCCTCCCAGGCCCAGGAGAGGGGGGAGGGGGAGGGGTTAAGCTACCCACCCGTCCGCAAGCCGTCTTGTTCACACCCACCCGCCCTCCCAACACAGAAGTCATACCCGGGTGTCAGTATGTCGCGTATGAACGCCGCAGAAGCCACGGATTCCAGATGCACCAGACACCTTGGAGGCCCAAGCGTGCCAGGCGCGCCAGGTGCGGCACGTGCTCCACGTGCGCCCAGTGTTCCACGTGCTCAGCCGCGCCAGGTGCGCCAGCCATTGGGAACAAATAGGGGCTCCACCTGCGTGTGCCGCAACTGTTGCTGCGCCAGCAATTGCTCACGCCCCAGCGTATGTTTGTGGGTGCTGGCCACCGCGCGCATGGGGCGTTCTTGGGGCTGGTGTTGAAGCCTCTTGGGCCCTGCTTGGAGCGTTCTTGGCCAATTTCATCTGGAGGCTTCGAAAGCCCATCCGAAACGAAAAGGCGAGAAGGCAGCAGCCATTGATTTGTCAAAGCGGTCGGTCGACCACATGCGCCCAGAAGGCAGGTGGGATCTGCTGGCATCCCGGCCGTCCCTGTAAAATACGCATTAAATTACCCCAACGGATGGACCCCACATGAACACCTAATTTTGTATGGAATATGTACGTTATCAGAATGATGTTGCTCCTATCCTCATCACCCTCACGTCTCCTCCTGTTCCTCCTCCTCCTCCTTGTCCTCCTCTTCCTCATCCTCCTCCGCCTCCTCCTATTCCTCCTCCTCCTCCTTGAGCAGCGTCCATTTCAACCGCGTCCTCTTGACGGCACTGTGGTTGAAATCCCCGTTTCCTCCCCCTCTTTCTCCTCCTCCTCCTCCTCCTCATCCTCCTCCGCCTCCTCCTCGTCGACCGGCTTTCATTTCAACCACCTCCTCCCGACGCCGCCGTGGTTGAAACCTTCTTCCCCGCTCGCTCCCTTTCCTCCTCCTCCTCCTCCTGCTCCTCCTCCTCCTCCTCCTCCTCTTCGTCCTCCTCCTCGTCATCACCTCCTACTGGTCCCCCCCTTCCTCATCCTCCTCCTCCTGCCTCCAATCCCTCCTCTCCTCCCTCCTCCGTTCCCTCCTGTCCTCCCCTCCTGCTCCTCCTCATCCCACGTCTCCTTTCTCCCTCATCCCTCCTCCTCCTCCCTTCCTCCTCCTCCTCCTCCTCGTCCTCCGCCTTGAGCAGCGTCCATTTCAACCGCGTCCTGACGGCACCGTGGATGAAATCCCCGCCTCCTCCTCCTCTTTCTCATCCTCCTCCTCCTTCTCCTAAGCCTCCTCCTCATCCTCCTCCTCCGCGCGAGCGGGCTCGCATGGAATGCCCCTGAGGGTCATTCCGTGCGAGCGGGCTCGCTGATGCCGATAGCCGTTGGAAATCCATTTCTTAGGTGGGACCCCCTAGGGGCCACAGGGGAGGTCCCTTCCGCGCGAGCGGGCTCGCATGGAATGCCCCTGAGGGTCATTCCGTGCGAGCGGGCTCGCTGATGCCGATAGCCGTCGGAATTCCAAGTTTTAGGTGGGACCCGCTAGGGGCCACAGGGGAGGTCCCTTCCGCGCGAGCGGGCTCGCATGGAATGCCCCTGAGGGTTATTCCGTGCGAGCGGGCTCGCTGATGCCGATAGCCGTTGGAATTCCATCTCTTAGGTGGGACCCCCTGGGGGCCACAGGGGAGGTTCCTTCCGCGCGAGCGGGCTCGCATGGAATGCCCCTGAGGGTCATTCCGTGCGAGCGGGCTCGCTGATGCCGATAGCCGTTGGAATTCCAATTTTTAGGTGGGCCCCCCTAGGGGCCACAGGGGAGGTCCCTTCCGCGCGAGCGGGCTCGCATGGAATGCCCCTGAGGGTCATTCCGTGCGAGCGGGCTCGCTGCTGCCGATAGCCGTTGGAATTCCAACTCTTAGGTGGGACCCCCTAGAGGCCACAGGGGAGGTCCCTTCCGCGCGAGCGGGCTCGCATGGAATGCCCCTGAGGATCATTCCGTGCGAGCGGGCTCGTTGATGCCGATAGCCGTTGGAATTCCAACTCTTAGGTGGGACCCCCTAGGGGCCACAGGGGAGATCCCTTCCGCGCGAGCGGGCTCGCATGGAATGCACCTGAGGGTCATTCCGTGCGAGCGGGCTCGCTGCTGCATTCCGAGCGGGCTCGCTGCTGCCGATAGCCGTTGGAGTTCCAACTTTTAGGTGGGACCCCCTAGGGGCCACAGGGGAGGTCCCTTCCGTGTGAGCGGGCTCCCATGGAATGCCCCTGAGGGCTATTCCGTGCGAGCGGGCTCGCTGATGCCGATAGCCGTTGGAGTTCCAACTTTTAGGTGGGACCCCCTAGGGGCCACAGGGGAGGTCCCTTCCGCGCGAGCGGGCTCGCATGGAATGCCCCTGAGGGTCATTCCGTGCGAGCGGGCTCGCTGCTGCCGATAGCCGTTGGAGTTCCATTTCTTAGGTGGGACTCCCTAGGGGCCACAGGGGAGGTCCCTTCCGCGCGAGCGGGCTCGCATGGAACGCCCCTGAGGGCTATTCCGTGCGAGCGGGCTCGCTGATGCCGATAGCCGTTGGAGTTCCAACTTTTAGGTGGGACCCCCTAGGGGCCACAGGGGAGGTCCATTCCGCGCGAGCGGGCTGGCATGGAATGCCCCTGAGGGTCATTCCGTGCGAGCGGGCTTGCTGATGTCGATAGCCGTTGGAATTCCAGCTTTTAGGTGGGACCCCCTCGGGGCCACAGGGGAGGTCCCTTCCGCGCGAGCGGGCTCGCATGGAATGCCCCTGAGGGTCATTCCGTACGAGCGGGCTCGCTGATGCCGGTAGCTGTTGGCATTCCAATTTTTAGGTGGGACCCCCTAGGGGCCACAGGGGAGGTCCCTTCCGCGCGAGCGGGCTCGCATGGAGGGCCCGAGGATGATGATCATGATGTGTGTGTGTATGTTTGTGTGTGAAGGTGTGTGGTGTGTGTGACTGGGTGTGTGACTGGGTGTGTGTGGGTGTGTGTGTGGCCCGCGGCCGTCTAGCGAAAACAAGAACCCCACTTAGGATGTCGGGAACAAAGTGGTCGCAGGGCGGCCGCGAATGTTCCAAATATGAAGGCTGAGTGTGTTTTGTTTGTTTTCTGAAAGGGATGGTGTGGGGGGGATCATGGGATCGGCATTGTTTCGGGTTGTTTCGGGCTGGCTGCCTGCTAGGTGTAGGAAGGGGGTGTACATTTCTTGGGGACACTGACATGCCCTTCCACCGAGCAGGGGAAGGAGGGGTTTTAGCAGAGAGAAGGCGACGGTCGTTAAACCACCTACGCCCAAAAGGCTGGTGGGATTCCTGGAACGTAACCTGACCAATCGCCCGATGACATCACTCTCGCCCCACAGGAAATCCTCCACGCGCAGAGGGGCGTAGGGTGTTTCTCAGAAGGCGCGGGCCTCGTCTGTAGATGTAAGGCTGGCGCCTTGAAGAAACAGCCCCTTTCTAAGAAGCCTTCCCCACTCTCCATACCCCCTTGTGCGCGCCGCCAACTTCGCCCCAGATCAGGAGGGAAAAAACACACAAGCACAATTCATCGTCGACTCCCAGGAAGATATGGGGAAATATCGGACGTGGGGAGGACGACGAAAACCCAGAATATATGGGAAGATACGGGGAATTCTGGGATTCGTGCCTATTTGTTTGTGTGTCCCTGGGTCTTGCGATCGCAAACATGGATCAAGGGGGCGTGGATTGGCGACGGGTCCCGTTCCCATGGAAATCGCGGACCTCCGCCGCCGAACGAGGCGGCACCGGCCGCATTTTGGGGAGGGCACCTCCCCCGATCCATGGATCTGGTGACCGCGCGCCAAGTCCATGGATCGCTCATCCATGCCTGAGCGCCCCCGACTGGATCCCTTCCCCAGAGGAGAACAGGTCGCTGCGCGAGGAGGTCTCGGCGCTGCGCGGCGCCCAACCGCGGTGGCCCGCGGGCGCGCACGGTGGCGGCCCCGTCGCCCCGCGCGCCAGCTCCCGCGCCGACGGGAGCACGCCGGTGACCTCGGTGGGCCTGTCTGGCTCGGCGACCTTGCCCATCCTGTCCCGCAGCGTGGGGCAGGCGACGACGACGATGACGAGGACGACGACGACGAGGACGACGACGACGAGGAGGACGAGGACGAGGACGAGGACCACCACCACCACCACCACCGCCACGACGACCACCACTACCACCACCACCACCACCACCACCACCACCACCACCACCACCACCACCACTACCACCACCACCACCACCACCACCACCGTCACCACCACCACCACCACCACCACGACGACGACGACGACGACGACGACGACGACGACGACGACGACGGCGGCAACGACGACGACGACGACGACGACGACGACGACGACGACGACGTCGGCCACGCGCAGAGGTGGGGTAGGGGGAGGAGGCTTCTTAGAAGCACCCCTGCTTCTCAGAAGGCGCGGGCCTTGCCTGCAGATGTAGGGCTGGCGCCTTCCGAGAAGCAGCCTTCGCCTAAGAAGCCTTCCCCCTCCCCCTACCCCATTGTGCACGCCGCGAAAGGCGGACGGCGAGCCCGCCGCCAGGGTCAGCAGCGCGGCGTGGAGCTCGAAGGCGTCGTCGCCCGCCCGCGTGGGCACGTTGCCGGGCGCGCTGCACGCCAGCCCGGAGGTCCCTAGGCTTTGGAGGGCTGGAAAAGTGTACGGAGATGATGGTTTGGGCGCGAATTAATGGAGGCGATACCGGGGGGGGGGAGGTGTGGGCCTTACAGGCCCCCTTTCTAGGCCCACAAGGGTTCCTTTCGGGGCCCTCAAAGGCCCTTTTCGGCAGCCATCGCTGCCCCCTCATTGATCGCCCTCCCGCCAATTCTCGCCCAAATTGCCAGGGGGGCGTGAGACTCGGGTGCGCGGGAACTCGAGTTAGCGTGCGATTTTTGACGGTCCAGTTTTCGTGGGATGTCTGCGGAGGGAGTTTGCGTCAAGTTTCAGACGGAGTCTCGTCATTTGCTTGACGGCCCCGTCAGGCCAACCCGAGTCGTCCACACCCGAGTCATACGTCTCCCCGAAATGGGGACGAAGACCGACAGCAGCTCCTGCCCGTTTCGAACAGGACTCGCCGCGTGCGCTGCCCACTCGAGGCAGAAATTCGCCTGCCCAAGAGCGGCCGCCGCCGGTGTTGGACAAGACTTGCTGTCAGACATCGTACCATTTTTTGCGCGTACCCATGTCTCGGCGGCAAGCGAGGGGGGGGGAGAGAAGGGGTCTGACTCCTCAGCAGAAGGCTTGGAAGTCCCCTGGCCTTCTGAGAAGTCCCCCGCGCCTCCCCCGAAGGCGAAGAGAACGCCCCTCGGAAGGCGAGGGCCTCTGTGGAGCCCCACCGCCCTCTGAAGAGGCCTTCTCCTCCTCGCTTCCCCGCCGCCCTCGCTCGCCGCCGACTTTTTCGGCTGCGCCAGCAGTCAAGGGAGGAAAGACCACCCAGACCCGATGATTGGCGTTTGCTCAACGGCCCTGGGCGTTTCCTAAACAGCCCGGCCCTGCTCGATTCCTTCTTCGGGTGCGTTTACGAAACAGCTTCGCGTGTCAGGGTGATCATTAGGGTGGATTTCTGCCACGCGCAGAGGGGGGTGGGGGGAGGGGGAGGGCTTCTCAGAAGCACCCCTGCTTCTTAGAAGGCGCGGGCCTTATCTATAGATGCCAGGCAGGCGCCCTCTAAGAAGCAGCCTCCTTCTAAGAAGCCCTCCCCCCTCCCTCCGCCCCCTTGTGCGCGCCGCCAGCCCTCGCTCGCCGCCGAATTGTTCGGCTGCGCCAGCAGGCTGGACTGCGGCGGGAGCACCCTCGCCCAGGAGCTCAGCGGGCGGAGCGAGGAGAGGCGGCCCGCCGCCGGGGAGGAGCCGCTCGAGGCGATGGGCCTGCTTTCCACCACCACCGCCACCAGAAGCTGGAGGGGGGGAGGGGGAGGAGGAGGAGGGGGAGGATGAGGAGGAGGAGGAGGAGGAGGAGGAGGAGGAGAGGAGGGAGGAGGAGGAGAGGAGGAGGTTGGAGGAGGAGGAGTTGGAGAAGGAGGAGGAGGAGGAGGAGGAGGAGGAGGGAGGAGGAGTTGGAGAGGAGGAGTTGGAGAAGGAGAAGGTGGAGGAGGAGGAGGAGGAGGAGGAGAGGAGGAGGAGGAGAAGGAGTTGGAGTTGGAGGAGGAAGAGATTGAGAGTTGGAGGAGGAGGAGGAGGAGGAGGAGGAGGAGAAGGAAAGAGGAGGAGGAGGAGGAGGAGGAGGAGGAGGAGGAGGAAAAGAGGAGGAGAGGAGGAGGAGGAGGAGGAAAAAGAGGAGGAGGGGAGTTGAGTTGGGAGATGGGATTAGAGGAGTTCGAGTTGGAGGAGGAGGAGGAGGAGGAGGAGGAGGAGGAGGAAGGATGCGGAGGAGGAGTTGGAGTTGGAGTTGGAGGAGCAGGGAGGAGGAGGAGGAGGAGGAGGAGGAGAAGAGAGGAGGGGAGCGGAGTGGAGTTGGAGTTGGTGGAGGAGGAGGAGGAGGAAGAGGAGGAAGGGCAGGAGTTGGAGTTGGTTGGTTGGAGGAGAAGGAGAAAGAGCAGGAGGAGGAGGAGGAGGAGGTGGGAGGAGTTGGGTTGGAGGAGGAGGAGAAGGAGGAGGAGGAGGAGGAGGAAGAGGGAGGAGGGAGCAGGGAGGAGGAGGGGGAGGAGGGAGGAGGGAGGTGGGAGGGAAGGAGGAGGGAGGGAGGCGGGAGGGAGGGAGGAAATAGGGGGAAGAACGAGGAGGAGGAGGGAGGAGGGAGGAGGGAGGAGGGAGGAGAGGAGGGAGGAGGGAGGAGGTGGGAGGAGGAGGAGGAGGAGGAGGAGGAGGAGGAGGAGGAGGAGGAGGAGGAGGAGGAGGAGGAGGAGTAATAATAATACTAGTAATAACAACGGTAATAACAATCATAACAATAATAACAAGAGGAGGAAGAAGCATAAGAAACATAATAATCATAACCGCACGAATAATAATAAGAAGGAGGAGGAGGAGGAGCAGCAGCAGAAGAAGAAGAAGGAGAAGGATGAGGAGGAGAAGGAGAAGAAGAAGAAGAAGAAGGCGGAGGAGGAGGAGGAGGAGGAGAAGTAGGAGGACCCCCATCCTCCTCCTACTCCTGCCTGGTGGTGGCGGTGGAAAACAAGCCCACCACGAGGTCCTCGGCGCGACCGCGGGCCGGCCCCGGCCGTCGCAGAGCTCGCTGGAGCCCCCAGGCGCGTCCGCGCGCCGCCGCAGGCCGTCGCGGCGCTCCTCGCTCGGCGGCAGCTCGGTGGTGCCCTCCGCGCGCAGCTCGATAGGGGGCACGCCCTACTCCCCGCTGAACGTGAGGACCTCGGGGGAGGGAGAGGAGAGTCGAATCAGAAGAAACTCCATGAGCAGAAACTTCTGTCGCTCCGCGCGGATTTCTTGGATCCGCGCTGCGTACCCTCGGCGGCGCCTCCGGCGCCGCCCCTGGCGCGCTCCGCGCGCCAGGGAGGGGGGTCCAGCGCAGATCAAAAAATCCGCGAGGAGCGCCAAGAGTTTATGTTTATGCCGATTGTTCGTCTTCTAGAGAATGCCAGCCTGAAGCATGTCCGCATCCCTACGTTTGACATCGTTCTCTTATTCACTGTCTTGCAGATCGGCGTGGACCCTCGCACCCCCTAACCCCCCCGATGGAGTTGGCGCCTGTTTCAAGCAGGTGGAGTCTCCCCCACAGGACGACCTGCTGCAAACAGCCGCATTAAGTAGAGATCCAAAGCCACCCCCCCCCTCCGCCCCCCCTCCGCCCAGTGTCGAATTGCCGGATAAGAAAACATTCACCCATTACTTTTTCTTATTGTCGCTCTGAAGGATTCCCTCAATTTCTGACGGTGCATCCCTGAGATCGTCCTCGCCGTTGCGCTTGTCAGTCTCAGGGATAGGGGCAAGAGCAAGGCTCGCCAGGAGAGACAGCACATGAGCACAATCTTTCGCGGGTCCGCGCGGATGTTCTCGGTTCGGAGTTGGGCACCCCCCTCGAGTAGGGGATCGACCACAGAATTGATTTACCCCAGAATTAGTGTTCCCGTCGAAGCTCCAGAAGGACTCTTCGAATCCTCAGTAGATGTGCCCACATGTTCCGCATTCGTCGCAGATTCGATGGGGAACACCGGTTTTGGGGTGAATCTATTCTGTAGTCGATCCCCTGCTCGACCCCTGTCGCGCGCCGCGTGCCGGGAAAGGGAGGGTCGTGCGCCGACCCATGAAGTCCGGGCGGACCTCGGAAAGGTTGATGCGGGTGCCGTTCCTGGTGCCTCTGTCGGCTACACGTAAGTAGGGCCTGTCCCTCTACAGGAGGAAGATTCGAAGATGGTTAAACAAAATCAGGGGACGTGCTTCTACTATGTTTGGCCATTCGGGAGTATTGGTGCGGCATGTGTAAATTTGTCAACCAAAATCCGACTGCAGGGGCACATGCCCGACGTGAGACTACACGTGAGAGCGACCCTTCGCCGGAGTGACGTTTGGTGCGGGCCCACTGGGGTCCCCCGATCGCCGAACGCGATGCGATACAGTGAGCGGCTTGAATAAGGAACGCTTACTTTTCAAAAGGGGCTCGGTCGTTCCTTAGGTTTGCATGCGTTCTGCTACCTTTCTGGCGCTAGAAAGGGGCTCGGCCGTTCCTTCGGATTTCGTAGGCTTACTTGGAAAAATGGGGCTTCGTTCCTTATTGATCGTTCCTTGGGTCAGGCCGATGACTGTAGTGGCGTCTTGCGCGCCTGTGTTCGGTCCCCCACCGGCCCCACACAAAGCCGCGCACCAAAGGTCACTCTGGCCCAGGGTCATCCTTGCGTGTAGCCAATTCTAAGGATATCAGCCACCGAAGTGACCAGGTTCTCCCGGATGCTCCACGTCGACAAGTGGAACACGGGTCAGGCAAAGATCTCGGCGCGGGATCTTTTGCGGGTCTTGGAGTCGCGGGGCGTGGAAGATTTGTCGATCCAGCGCGTTTCTTGGGTGATTCGGCGGCGCGCACAGGGGGGAAGTGAGAAGGGGCGGGCCTTCCCAGAAGGCTCGGAAGTCCCCCGGGTTTCCAAGAAGTTTTCTAAGCTTTCCCCGGAGATGGAGAACATTTCTCGGAAGGCGCGAGGGTTTCTGAGAGGTCCCGCCGCCTTCTGAGAAGGCCTTCTCCTTCCACTTCCCTCCCCTCGCTCGCCGAGAGGTGATGCAGCGGCTCCTTGGGGTGAGCTCCCCAGAGCATGCGCTCTCCGGGTACCTCAGAGATCGAGCTCGAGAGGCGCAGTTTTTGGAAGTGAGGCCAGATCGCAGCGACGATGATGACGCTGATTTCGAGATGCCGTTCAAAGCGTTCGTGGACATCATGCTCTGTAAGAATATCTCTAAGGGGCTGAGCCCGGAGGTCGCTGAGGAGGCCAGGTGTTGGCAGAAGGCCCTCATGACGGAGACGATCGAGGAGGTGATCGACAGACTGGCCAAATCTGGCAGCCCCGAAGCATGCAGCCCAAGCCCCGAAGCATGGAGCAAAAGTCGCATGTGGGCCTCCCGATCTTCAGTGCGCAGTACAAAAGAAGTGACAGGTCAAGGCTGTTCTAACAAGCATCGTGATGCTTATGTAGCTGAGATTCGGCACCCTCCTCCATTTTCTGATTCTCCTTCCCTGCCCGCGTGGCCGAATCTCACTCTCCTTGTGGTTTGGGCTGTCATGGAAAGGTTACCGAGAACGATGTAAAGTTAAGGCGCTGCCGGTGCTGAACGCAGTGGTGGTCGTCACGGTTTTTGTCAGCGTCATCTCGTTGTCCTTGAGCATGGACTACTGTATAGATTGCGAGGCATGGTTTTATGTAGAGATGATCGCTGCACTTATCTTCGTCACAGAATTGCTGATCAAGTTTTGCATATTTGGATACGCGGAGTTCCTGTTCGGTGACGATTGGATGTGGAACTGGAGCGACGCGTCAATCACAATTGTAGACTTCTTGGAGGTTGGAATGAGGGTGCTAGTGAGGACAGGTGACGTGGATATAGACCAGACGATCTCGGTCGGCACGGTCCTGGTTGCGCTGAGGACTTTACGCATCTTGCGCTTTGCGCGGCTAGTAAAGATGGCAAGATCGCCTCTCCTACACGAGCTCGCTAGCATTTTACATGGCTTCGTGCTTGGGTCGCGGGCGCTTTTGTGGGTGCTCATGGTGATCTGGATCGTTTTGTGGGTGACGGGCGCCACGTTCCGCCAAGTAATAGGCCCCAAGGCAGGGCAGGAGCTCCTCACCGACTGGTGTGGGTTCGACGGGGACACCATGCACGAAGCGGAGAACGCGGCAAAGATCGAAATGTTTCCTGAGTGTGGGAGCAGGCACAGGCTTTATGCAGACGAGTATTGCTCCACTGTGGTCGGGTGCTCGTTCACTGTATTCCGTTGCATGATTGGCGATTGTTCTTCCAAGGGGGGGCAGTCATTACCGGCACATTTCAGCGCTGGCTACAAGATTAGGTTTGACCTTATTTATGTGTTTGGCATGATCGTCTTGATATTTGGCTTATTCAACATTATCCAGTTGCGTTGCCGCGCATATCCGCCACCGCGCTTGTGGAAACTGCGTAGTAAGGCCGCAGCGAGGCACGTTCCCTGCGTTTCATGGTTCTCGCGCTACCCCCGTGTGGGACTGGCCTGCAGTCTCCTTGGGGAGGTCGGGCCATTCGAGGGAGGGTCCTGGAGGTCGAGGGGCCGTCTTGGGGCAGTTGTCATGCAATTGTCTGTCTCTCTGGAGCTTCTGTGGCGGCCGATGGGGTGGCCAGTTGGTTGGCAGGCGGGTACCTTCGCTGGTTGGTTCGTTGGTTGGTTCGTTAGTTGGCTGGTTGGTTGGCAGGTTAGGTGTTTGGGCGCTTGGTTGAGCTGTTCGTCGGGGTGGTTGGTCGGTTGGCGGGTTGGTTGGTTGGTTGATTGATTGATTGCTTGGTGGCTCAGTTGGTTGCTTGGTTGCCTTGTCGGCGCGTCGAGTGGACCGAGAAATGCTGGATGCGCGGGTCGTTGCCAAGAAAAGAGTGTCGGAGGTGCTTCTCGCAGGGCGACCGGGGGTTGCGCGACGCCAGCTGCGTCGACCTGATTCGGGACTCAGGAGACGGGGGTCAATGCAAACGGGTGTCAGGCAGAGCGCCGGATCTTGCAGGATCCTGCAGGGCCAGGGGTGCATTGACTTGGGCTTGGGCGCAGGATCCTGCAGGATCTTGCAAAGCCTTGACTGACCCCGGTTTGGATTGACCCCGTTCAGTAGATCCCCCCCGATTGGTGCCCGAGGTGATCGCAGGCAGTATCGATTAGGACATCGTGGGACATCTCAGGGGCCTAGTCGAGGCCCCGCAAAGGGTTCTCAATGGGTTTAACATTTGGGCCCCGTTCATGGACCCTCTTGGGCCGTCCTGGGGCTGTCTTGGAGGCCTCCTGTGCCGTCGTGCGGCGATATTGGGGGCTTGTTGGGCCGTCCTGGGCGTCCTCAAACACGAAAGCGTGAGAACGGAAATATTGCAGAAAAACAATCAGGGGCGTTTGACTCTGAAAACTCTCTTTGGGTTCTTCTTGGGCCCATATTGAACCATCTTTGGGGTATCGTGGCATGTCGCAAGGCCATATTGGGCCGTCTTGGGCCGGTCCTGACCGTCGTGGGGCCATCTTGGGGCTGCGTCGGAGCAATCTGACAAGTCTTGCAGGGTGGTCCGCGCCACTAACCGCATGCCGATGATAATAAAGGGACCCCCCCCCCCCTTCAGTGTTTAGAGTTGATTATCGTCGCCCTATACAAAATTCAAATTGGGCGGCGAGCGCTGAGGCCGAACTTCATTATCACCTCGAAACGCTATGTTGAGATAGCAACATCAAGCGATGTTGATATAGCAACATCAAGCGAAGCGATCACACTTTTTCAGGATGTGTCAAGCGAAACCAATAATTTTGGGAGGCAGACTCAAACGAAACGAGCAATGTTCTTATTATTATTATACTTTCCTCTTCTTCTTTTATATTTCTATCTGTCCTCACGCTCGCCTGAACTTTTTTATCCCTGGGGTTGATTATCCATGGAAAATGAAGCACATGAGCTACCCTACACGAGCACTTAAAAACATCAATGTTCATAAAGCGTTTGTAAATTAAAATTGATAGATTTGGAACTTTGGATTTTTCCTTTCTTCGTCCTCTTCTTATTATCCTCTTCTTCTTCTTTCTTATTATTCTTCTACTGTATTATTCTTCTTTTATATTTCTCTCTGTCCCCACGCTCGCCTGAACTTTTTTATCTCTGGGGTTGATTATCCATGGAAATTGAGGCACATGAGCTACCCTACACGAGCACTTACAAAAAACAATTTTCATGAGAGATAAGCCATTGTTGAGGATATTTCTATGAAAACTAAACGCCAAGGATGTCTCAAAACGTGCTCGGCTTGGTCTCCTCTTGATCATCTCTTACTTCGAGATTATGCTGAGGTCTGCTGGGCTACTTTTATTATCTCTCCCTGAACCCCGAACTTTATTATCCCCTAGTGTTTATTCTCACGGGCATGAGGTTATGTATGCGGGAGGCGGTAAGGGGCCATGGAATTTGATGTTGGCAAGACAATGATCGCCATCAGCATGTCTCCCGTCGACGGAGTCACCACCACGATCGTGCAAACCATCCTCATCATCATAAACGCACTCTTCAGCCCCATCATCCTCATCATGGTCGTCGTCATCGTCATATCATTGTCATGGGCATCACCACCACGAACACAATCAGCATCGTCATTACCATCGTCGTCGTTATGATCATAATCTCCCTCATCATTACGATGGCCTTTCTAGCATGCTATCATCTACCTGCTTCCCTCTCTTCCTCCTAACCAGCACCATTCATGTTGTTGTCATCCTCCCCGCTTGTTTAACAACGGGCGCATTGCCATAATAAGCCATCTCCCTGATCAGCATCAACGTTCAGAAGCAAAGCACCAGAACATCATTATCGTGAACTCCGCCAGCTGCAACTTTTAAGTCATCATCGTACTCATCATCATCATCATCATCATCATCATCATCATCATCATCATCATCATCATCATCATCATCCAAATCCTTATCTCAATACCAGCACCATCACCAGTACAATCAAGATCGTCGGGTGATCCGGGATCCGGTGAGTCCGGGAGTCCGGCGGGTCCTGCGAGTCCGGTGAGTCCGGTGAGTCTGGCGAGTCACGTGGGTTTGGTGGGTTTGGTGGGTTTGGTGTGTCCGGTGTGTCCGGTGTGTCCGGTGTGTCCGGTGTGTGCGGTGTGTCCGGTGTGGCCGGTGTGTCCGGTGTGGCCGGTGTGTCCGGTGTGGCCGGTGTGTCTGGTGTGTTTGGTGCGTCCGGTGGCCGGCGTGTCTGGTGAGTCCGGTGAGTCCGGCGCGGTGGTTGGGGCAGCAGGGAGGACCATTCTGCCGAAACGGGATTGTCGCCCAAATACGGTCTTCGCCGGTGGGACCGCAGGTGGAGCTCAGTACGGGGCCACGAAACGTGTTAGGGGTGTGCCAGAAAAAAACGAGTCGCCCACATGCGGGCTGCGCCAGTGGGCCTTAGGTGGAGCTCCTGGTGGGGCCAGGAGCTGTGTGAGGGGTGCGCCGAAACGGGGATGTCGCCCACATGCGAACAGTGCCACTGGGCTTTAGCTGGAGTTCCCGATGGGGCCACAAACTGTGTGAGGGGCATGCCGAAACGGGGGCGACGCCCACATGCGAACGGTGCGACTGGGGCCTTGGTTGGAGCTTCCTATGGGACCACGGAGCGTGTGAGGGGTGTGCCGAAACGAGAGTGACGCCCACATGCGAACGGTGCCACTAGTGCCTTAGGTGGAATTCCCTGCGGGGCCACGAAACATATGAGGGCTGTGCCGAAACGGGAACGACGCCCACATGCGAACGGTGCCCGTGGGACTTTAGCTGGAGCTCCGTATGGGGCCACAAAGCGTGTGAGGGGTGTGCCGAAACGGGGGCGACGCCCACATGCGAACGGTGCCCGTGGGACTTTAGGTGGAGCTCTCTATGGGTCACGAAGCGTGTGATGGGTGTGCCGAAACGGGAGTGACGCCCACATGCGAATGGTGCCACTGGGGCCTTAGCTGGAGCCCCCTATGGGGTCACGAAACGTGCTAGGGGTGTCGCGAAAAGGAGGTGACGCCCACATGCGAACGGTGCCACTGGGGCCTTAGCTGGAGCCCCCTATGGGGTCACGAAACGTGCTAGGGGTGTCGCGAAAAGGAGGTGACGCCCACATGCGAACGGTGCCACTGGGGCCTCAGGTGGAGCTCCCTATGGGGCCACGAAGCTTGTGAGAGGTGTGCCGAAACGGGAGTGACGCCCACATGTGAAGGGTGTCATTGGGGCCTTAGGTGGAGCTCCCTATGGGGTCACGAAGCGTGTGAGGGGGGTCGCGAAAAGGGGGTGATGCCTACATGCGAACGGTGCCACTGGGGCCTCAGGTGGAGCTCCCTATGGGGCCACGAAGCGTGTGAGGGCTGTGCCGAAACGGGAACGACGCCCACGTGAGAACGGTGCCACTGAGGCCTTAGCTGGAGCTCTCTATGGGCCACGAAGCGTGTGAGGGGTGTGCCGAAACGGGAATGCCGCCCAGATGCGAACGGTGGCATTGGGGGCTTCAGGTGGAGCTCCCTATGGGGCCACGAAGCGTGTGAGGGCTGTGCCGAAATAGGGGAGATGATAATGATGATGATGATGATGATGATGATGATGATGATGATGATGATGATGATGATGATGATGATGGTGATGGTGATGGTGATGGTGATGGTGATGGTGATGGTGATGGTGATGGTGATGGTGATGGTGATGGTGATGATGCTGATGCTGATGCTGATGCTGATGCTGATGCTGATGATGATGATGATGTTGCTGATGATGCTGAAGATGCTGAAGATGCTGATGATGCTGATGATGCTGATGCTGATGATGATGATGATGATGCTGATGATGCTGATGATGAGGAGGAGGAGGAGGAGGACAATGGCGATGATGGTGAGTAGTATGCTGATGCTGATTATGATGAAAAGAGGGAAGAAGGGGGGAGGAAGGAGAAGAACGCGGGGCGCTGTCTCTTCAAAACGAGGACCCAACACCACAGGATGGTTGAGATAACAACCTCCTTGTGGCATGCCCCATGTAACTATGAGGTTTCGTCCTCTACGTAGAGAGTTCAAGTCATCAGCCAGCTTTTCTCTCTCAATGATTTATTCCTATTTGTCGCGGAGGCGGCTCACCGCAGTTTTTGTGGAGTCGACCATGAAGGGCCTCGCCGCTCAGGATACCAGGATCAAGAGGCAAGAGAAGTACCAGGTGAAGCACGTGAGGAGGGCCTTGGAGAGGTTGGTGCGGCGCATCACGGTGATCAGCGACACGTACAAGAGGGCCCGCGACCATGGCGAGGCACAGCGCAAAATGGGGAGCTTCAACAGGTTGTTCGGCACGCTTGTCGGCTCTAGTTGGCTCTCTCGCTGGAAGGCTTGCCACGCCGATTCTCACTACTCGGGAAGACCTCTCTCTTCCAGGCCAATCGACCCTTCTCAGCTCACACTCTCCGAGTGTGCCTTCAACGAGGTGCTCAGGTTCGAGGCGGGAATGTATACATGACCACCGCCTGGAGGGTCAGTTTTTGGAGCCTTGGCAGGCGGTGGCTATGGACATATTCGGGCCCCCGGGGGCCGAAATATATCCATATCCACCGCCCGCTGGGGCACCAGGACGTCGGTTCCCAGGCGGTGGATATGGATAAATCCCCGACTCGCATCAGGGACGAGAGCGTCCAGTGCATCCTGGACGAGCTCGACGTCAACCTCGGCACCGATACGGCCAGCATCTTCCGCATCTTTAGGAAGGACCGCGAGGGCCACCTGCCGCTCTCGGAGATGCTGGGCACCATTATTAAGTCGGGCTTGTCCCTCTGCAGGAGGAATAATCAAAAACAGTCGAAAGATGGTCCGGGGACTATTCTTTTACTATGTTTGGACATTTCTGACATATTTGTGTGTTTTTTATTTTCCGTCCAAAATCTGCCTGTAGGGGAGCACCCCCGACTTAATACCATCATGATGCTCCGGGGTGACACGTCCAAAGTGGACTTCATTGGGCCCTCGGTGATGATTGGCGGACTTCGAGACGAACTGAGCCGTGATGTCCACAAAGTCCAGGAGATGATCCAGAGCACCCGCCTGGCGCTAGTAAGGTGCGAACGGCAGATCTTGGACATTACTGATGGACGGTAGCGGGTAATATCAAAGGGTTCTCAAGATCGCGACTTCCCGCTCTACCGTCAGAGGCCATTTCGATCCGACCGATCTGATTACTCATGGGCTTACGCCACACCGCCGACCCCTTGGGATATCTGGGAAGGCCTTGGGTTGGGGGGGGGTCCGTGCAGTATTAACAATCTGGCTCTCGCTATATCGCGCGTGGTTTTTTCTTGTGCGCTGGCCCCCCATGTCGCCGCGCCAAATTGCCGCCGGTCGCTGCGGCCTCGCATCAGATCCACCCTCAGCAACTTGGTACGTTTGTATGTACGAATGATCGTGTATGTATATGTATATATATACATTTATATACATATATATATACATACATACATGCATAAACATATGTGTATATATACATATATACAGAAACACCTGCAATCTTATATTGTACACACACGCGTACATAACATGGGGACGCATGCGTGCACAGAGGTGGCACTGCGCGGTGCCATTCGACAGCGTGTCTTTGGGATCAAGAATTGGCTCGTGGTGTGTTCATTCGGCGCCAGCGACAGCGGATGATGATGAGGCGCCAGCGACAGCGGTCACGAGCAGATCTCAATTAGTTATTGTGTGTGCCGGGCATGTACATATATAAGCCAGATGATACACGGGCGTCCCCCCGCAACGCAAGTATATATATACATATATACATATATACATATATACATATATATATAAACATATGTATATACATATGTGTGAATGTATACACGCATATATATATATATATATATATATATATATATACATACGCAGGGGTGTCCCCCTCATATGCTGGTTTGTGGGTGTTTTTTTCCGAAAATACTGTTCAACGTCTTTGATGCACAGGTGCAGATCGGACGTCGCCGACGCATTGCGGCGAGGCTCACGCGTGTACGGAATCAACAACGGCGGGTTGAGCTGCTGCGGCGCAAGTATGGGGAAAGGAGGAGGCATGAGGTGGTTCAGTAAAGGAGGAGCGATTAGTGATGCAGATTCTGTCTCCTCTTAGCCGCAACATTGTAGAAGGACTCCGACAAAAACCCAGCGATGATGATCTCGCAGCGTGCGGACGTCCCACCGCGAAGGGTGGAGGTTTTGAAGCCGGTTTTTTGCCCTCCGGACCAACGGGGGTGCCTCGTGGAGGGTGTCATCCTCAGAGGCGCGTTGGAGGCTTTGGACAGATCGAGACCGGAACCAAAAAAAACGTCTAAACCCAATTGTCGCGTGAGGATAATCGCTCTTTGCGGTCTGGTGGTGGGCGTGCATTCTCTATGCGGTCGTGGTAGGGGCTCGAGGGTGGTCACGCTCGTTCGGCGCAAGATCCTTTGGCAGCCAGGCCTTCCCCCGACAAGACCGTTCATGCGAGTTTCGTTTGGGTGTTCGGGTGTCACTGTGACATTAAGTTTCGATGGCAGCGGCTTTTCCGCAATCTATCCAAAGTTGCTCCAAGAGAATCGTGTCTTGTGGTCTGGGTTGGCAATGTGCTTTGCGTGCGGCTGTTCCAGGGGCGCGAGGAAGGGCACGTTTCGCGCGGCGGCTGCTCCTTTGGCAACGAGGCTCCCTTTCCCGCGCCTCAGGAAAACCATGCGCCTCTTGCAGGATTGTTCCAGCGTTGCTGTGGCTTCAAATACCGATGGCAGGGTCGCCCCCGCAGTCCACGCCAAGGTTGCGCCAGGATAATCGCGCCTCGCGGCCTGCGTTGGAGAGCGATCTCCTTCCATGGGTCCTGGGGGGGGGGCGCGAGAATGATCTCGCAGCGCGCGCAGGTCTCAGCGATCGGCGGTGGACTCTGCGACGCCAGTTTTTTTTGTCGCGATGCCATGCCCGACGTAGGTCCCCCTTCAGAAACTCCCCAATGCCGAAACCGTTGTGGCTCCAGCGCGCAGCCCATGGGGGGCGCATTTGTTTCGGCCCCCGCGGGAGTAGCGCCGCATGGGTGATGAGGCGGCGCTGGACGGCGCGTCGGCGTCGGCTTCGGCAGCCGCTGCCGATGCGCAAGTGCCCCCGCCGCACGCTGCCGCCGCCGATGATGATCAGAACTGGGGCCCGCGGGCGCGGTCTGCAGCGGATGGGGGCACTCGCGCGGCGCAGCCACAGACAGCGACGCCACAGCCGCATCCGGAGCCACAGCAGACGCCCCAACCTCAGTCAGTGGCTCCGCAGCGACAGCCGATACGAGAAAAGAGAGCGCCTTGCCACAGGGCACCATCGGCGCAGCCATCGCCTCGGAGACAACAGGCACCTCGACCAGAGAAAGCGCGCCCGCATGATCAGCGGCAGCCGAAGCCCCCGCTGCACCCGCCGCCACCAGAACTACAATCAGCGCGGCGGATTGTGGAGTTGCAGCCAACATTTCCGTAGCATCCGTCACCGCAATCACAGTTAGGGCAGCCGCGCGGTGAGCTGCACCGGGCAGTTCCGCAGTTTCCGCCAGCGCCCCCAGTGCCGCCACCCCCAGTGTTGGCGCGGCCAACGTCAACTTGGGCTCTGCCAAATGGGCAGCGTAGCGGGCGAGCAGAGGCGCCGCCACCAGCGCCTGTTCCAGCACCGCCCGCGCCGCCGCCAGGTGACCACAAGGCCCAGGGCTTGCCGAGGGTCCCAAAGACCCCCAGTCCCCCGGAAAAGAAGCGCCCAAAACGAACTGCAGCCTCAGCTTCACTTGCAGTGGGGGTGGCAGCAGCATCAGATGCAGTGGCGGCGGCAGCCTCCGCAGATGCAGCGGCCCCAGCGAATGCAGCAACAACGGGCTCAGCAACGGGTGCAATAACGGCAGCGGTGACAAAAGCGCGGACGTCCAGCGAATCGGCGGCGTGGCACAGTGCCTACGCGCAGGGCTTCCAGGACGGCGTCAGTTTTGGATTCGAGAGCGGGAAGAAGCGTGGCGCCCTCGCTGGTGCGATGAAGGAGATTAGGGTTTATGAACTCATTCGTTTTCTGATGTTCCATATGTATTGTCCTTGCGTTGTGTTAGGTGTTGTCTCCTTTCCTCTTTCCCTCTCTCTCTCTCTCTCTCTCTCTCTCTCTCTCTCTCTCTCTCTCTCTCTCTCTGTCTCTCTCTCTCTCTCTCCTCCCCTCTCTCTCTCTCTCTCTCTCTCTCTCTCTCTCTCTCTCTCTCTCTTCTCTCTCTCTCTCTCTTTCTCTTTCTCTTTCTCTTTCTCTTTCTCTTTCTCTTTCTCTTTCTCTTTCTCTCTCTTTCTCTTTCTCTTCTCTCTCTCTCTCTCTCTCTCTCTCTCTCTCTCTCTCTCTCTCTCTCTCTCTCTCTCTCTCTCTCTCTCTCTCTCTCTCTCTCTCTCTCTTTATTCTTCTGGTTACTTGTCTGATCAGACTCTGAACGAACTCTGAACGAGCTGCGGCCCAGCGAGGAACGGCAGAAGTGGGCGAGCTGGCACGGTGTAGCTCCAGCTGTGCCGCCTGGAGGTATCGAGGCCATGGCGACCCAGATCGCCCGGGAGATCGGCTCGTTCCCGACGGCGGAGACGGGCATCTTTGATTGAAAAGGTGCCGGGGAACGCATCAATGAGGAAAGAAAGGAAGGATGGGGAAAGAAAGCGAGGAGAAGGGCCAGCAAGGAGGGAAGAAGGAAGGACGACACAAGGAGGACGGGAAATACGGAGGAAGGATGAGACAGAAGAAAAGAAAGGAGGAGACATGACGGAGGGAGGTGTCCTACGGGGGGAGAAGGCACCTAAAGGAATGCAGAAGGGGCTCGATGCTAAACAGGGGGATCACGGAACAGTGAAGAATGTCCAGTATTGGATCTTGCGGTTTCATCCTGCATGTTGCTCATTGCGCCCTGCCATTCGAACCGGTCTGAGAGGGCCCCAAGATAATCGCCGGCAACCTGTCCAAGATGAGCGGCGCCGCCGCGGCTTCGACTTCTAGCGCTGCGAACGGCCCCGAGCGCCAGGGGGGGCCGAATGCGACGGCAAAACGGATTAGAGAGGGGTTCTTGTAGTGCGTCAGCGGTGGCAGGCGCTCGGCCAGTGGCTTGTGGCCGTTGCCACTCTACGAGCAGACTTCCAGTTGTTTTTTTGCGTGTGCAGCTTCACTTTTGCACGTCCAGATGACACGGGGGCGCCCCCCCACATCGCAGGAATGCGCACGGGCGCCCCCCTCGCATGCTTCCTGATGGTATCCTTGTCGAACATGTAGTGCAACGTCTTGCTGCACAGGTCAACATCGCACTTCGCCGATGGACGGCGGCGAGGCCCACGCGTTCACGGAATTACGCGCTGGCTAGTTGAGCCCCCGCGACGCGCGCGCGGGGAACGGAGGAGGGGCGAGGGGGGTTTAGAGAAGGAGAGGGATTCGCAATGCGGAGCGCCTTCTCTTCCAAGTCGCCACGTTGTAGGAGGCGCCGACAAGAGCCATGCGAGGGTGAACTCGCAGCGTGCGGACGTCTCATCGTGCGGCGGTGGAGGTTTTGAAGGCCTTAAAAAAACCGCGCGCGCGTCTCCCGGCGGGCCCCCTTACGGAGGCGCGCCGGGGCCTTTGGGCCGGGCGGGCAGCAAGCCACAAAAAAATCCAACGGCCGCGACTGGATAATCGCGCCCTGCGGTCTGGGTTAGCGAGTGTGCTTTCTCATGCGGTTGGCGCTAGGAGCGCGAGGGTGGCCACGTCCCGTCGCGCGGCGGCAGATTCCGCGTTCGCAACGGGCAGCACAAGACATCGAGAGTGGGGCGTGCGCGCGCCAAAGAGGACGCAGGAGGAGGCAGGGAGGGAGGAGGGCGAGGAAGAGGACAACGACGATTCGCAGCTCTGTCCTGGAGAACTCCGCCACCGCGCTGAAGCCCTGGGGCGAGGA